TCAAAGCTCAAGCCACCAATAAAGAGTTTACGGAACTGTTCCTTTTCTCTCTGCAAAGGAAAACATCATTTCAATTTTTATTTACATTTCCTCTTTGTATGCAGGAAATTAAATTCTTAAATATGAGGTGACCTGCTGGCAGAGTACCTTTTTCCTCTCCAAAGGAACAGTTTCTAAAGTTTTCTGGGGGGGGAAAAAAAAAACTTACATCAAATTTAAACCATATGTTAAACTGCATATTAGTTGTGTTACACCAAAAAAAATTTCGTCAGCTGAACTACACAAGTTTCAAAGTCATTAATGCTTGATCCAAATTTACTTGACATTTAATTACTTTAACATGCCTTAACCTTAAAAGAAAAAAAACTTTCTGAAAAGAGGAGCAAACCTAAACCTAAGTCATTGCAACTTTAAACAATTGTTACCAAATTTAGATTCAACCCTATTGTCCAGAACAAATAAATTTCCTTTTAAATACTCACTGTAAATAGTTTCTTTTAAAAAAAACACAAAAACTGTTGATTCTTTACCTAAAACTCAAAATTCAGTTTCAGGATTCAGTTCTCTAGAACTGTGACATTTGTTTTCCCTTTACTGCTCCCTCTGGTGGTGGTTCTTCCGAACTTCAGTTAAAAAAAAACCACTTTTAAAAATTCTTCTTTCCCCACACACCAACTCTCCATGAGTAACAAAAACCTTAAACATTCAATGTATTTACCAACACATCCTTATAAAATCTGCCTCTCCTCTGACCAAAGGAGAAATATCTTATGACCAACAGTGTTTAGAGCTTCAAAAGTTTTTAACTTTTTTTGGGGCATGCTTATATTTGGTATTTATAGGACAACACAATACACTACTGAACCATAAATGCAGTAAAATGTTTCTATAATCTCCCTTTTCAAGAACCATAAAAGCTTAGATGACCACTGTTAACTACTTAATTTCATATTATCACAATTTATACTTAATCCAGGAAAAGAAAAAAAAAAAAGTCAAGTTATTGACCTTAATGGCCATCTGGCACACTACACAGCACAAGTGTCTCCAATTTTACATGGGGGGGGGAAGAACCTGGGCTTAAAAATTTTTATCCTATAAACCAAGCAAATTTGTTCCATTAACAGCCCATATCTTTGGCTCTCAAATTAAATAGGTCGTTATGCTTCATTCAGATAACTAGAATAAAAAAATAGATATTCAGAAACCATAATAATTCATAATGTCCAGGAACAACTGCTGAGTTTATAATACAAATCAAAGGTCAAATATAATTTTCCATGCAACGATTACCAGCTAGTACTACATACAGCTCAAGTTCTGTGGAAGTTTTACTTCCTCCAAGCATGAAAATTCCCCAACAGCTCAAAAAATAGTGGTTAAGTATTCAACTAGAGATTTTTCTGTTCTTAGAATTGTAAAAATTTTTACAGGCTCAACGAATTATCAAACTGCCTCCTAGAACACCCAAAAAACCAGTTAGATGATTATCTACACATTGGCATTTAAAGTAATTCTCCTTAATTTAGTCTAATTTAGCATAAATCCATCTTTTTAACAACCCAAATAAGTTACGCAGATATAAAAGCATTATTTACAATAAGTTTTACACATGACTAACAAAAGGCAAAAACTCATTACTTACCTCAGTTTTTTCCAAACTTACCCGATGTCCTCTATCGATTACAAAGTTATTTTATAAGCGTGCTTAAGGTCAAAGAAAATACCCAACCAGGCCCCCTTCGCTGGAGACCTTTTGCTTATCAATGTAATGATCAACCATCATAGCAAACATAAATGAGAAAAGCAAATGACAAAGTTCAAATACATAGTGGCCCAGCCTGAAAAGTTTTCTATGTAGCCGTTAAAAGTCTAAGACTGAGCCACGTTTTAACCAAGTACTGAAGTTTTTATTTCACTTCCCTCTTTATTTCTGGTTTATCACAAGTCTCTAGTCTTTCCTAATAAAGACTACATTTCCCAGCAAAAATGTTAATTTAATGGGATTTTAAAATTCAAGGAATCCTTAGAAAAAGAATCGTGAAACCACCCCCCACCTCCGTCCCCACGGCCACCCACAGTCGGTCCTAACTTGACGGCTCCCATTTTTATTTCCAAAGTTTCCTGCAATTCAACTAGCTTTTAAGTCACTGCAGCCTCGGAAAAACCGTTACCCCAAAAAACGAGGGCCGGAAAACAAAATGTTCTCTTTGTCGCATGGTTTGCCTTAAAACTAGGCCCGACACCCTAGGTCGTTTTCCCTCCTCTTACCCCGGTGTGAGCCAGCCCCGGGGAACCGACTCCCCCACCCGCCCGCTCTTCCGTGTGGCTTCTGAGCGCAATGGCGCCATTTCATCGAGGGGAAAGCAAAGAGCCTCTAACGAGGTGCGCAGAACTTTAAAGATCCAAGCTCCCCAAACCCTCGGAATCCACCTCGAAAAGGCATGAGAACAACCCGAGCACAAAGAAGAACAGTTAACCACTTCTGTTCTCCCATAAAGGAATCAAACTATCAGTATCCAAACACTGAAGAGAAAAACGCTGCGAGGAAGGAAAGGAATGAAAATGGCGGCCGCCAAATCCGGTTCCCGGGAGGGGGGGGAGGGGAAGCTCCGCAGCCTCGCTCCGGAGGATCCCAAACCCGCCGAAAAGCTCAAACGCGGGGACACGGGAGCCCCCAAATCAGCGTGCTTTGAAAAGGGAGTTAAGAATTTCCGCCTCCGCGCCCCACTCTTCGCCAAAGCAGGGCTGCGTCCGCCATGTGGAAGTTCCCCCTCCCCCACCCCCAGCAAAGGGAAATGGCGCCGGCAGGCTGAGGGTGGGGAAGGTGCTGTTCAATCAGGCCTCGGCTAACGACCTCTCCTCAAAAATATCCTGAAACGAACCGCTTGTGAAGTGGCCCAGTTTCACCGCCGCTCTCCCACGGAGGCGGATGGCCGACTTCCACCGAGGCGCCAACGGCCTCGCTATGCCCTTTTCAATAACTCATTGATTTCAAACCCGTTACCTCCATCGCGGACTCAGTCGCCTCAGCCCGATTTCCCGCAGCCGAGCGAGATGAGAGAGATCTCCGCGGACGAACACGAACCGGACTCGTCCTGGCGCTGTAGTGAGAGCTGCTGCTGCTCGAGAAACAACACCGCTAAGAGCACCTCCACACGGGAGCCGGCGCTGCTGCTACTGCCGCTAGAGCCGCTGCCGCCGCTTTTCTAGAACCTTCCCCCCGACTAACGCGTCTTCCCCTACGTCAGGCCGTTGCGTAAACGCCCTAACCGCCGCCAATGGCGGGAATGCTCTACGCCCTCCTTACGCCAGGTACGTACTCCTCCCCTCCTTGCAGCCAGTGGCAGTGCTTGACGTCACTTGCGCAAATGGGCTCAGTGAATTGCGGAAGGCTCGAGTCCTGCGTAGCTCTCTCTAATGGAATTGGGTCCAGCCCCCGCCTTAGCGCAGGGCAGGTGAGAAACGGTCGCGCAGTTTGAAATTAACGCCGTCGGGAGGAGCTTAATCCGCAGCCCTAAAGCCCAGCCCCCTCAACCCGGGAGGTGGTCCCTGCCGCAAAGCCTCTCTTATTCACTACCCCGCCCTTCATCTCCCGCCAGATTAATCTTTGTAGCCTCCCCCTAGCGATTTCCCTCCCCCAACTCTCCCCTCCAGCGCTGAGCACTGACTCGGCCCCTTCCGGAAACACCCGAAGCGGCTCCTAGTCAACACGTTACACTTCACACTCCACCAACCCTGGCCAATGTCTTTGGGAGTCGGCCCCTTGGGTTCAAGAGAAGTCTTTGGAGAGAGTGGTTTGATAGGGGCGCTCCTTCCTAGTGCCGATTCTCCCCGCCCAAGTTTTTCTTAAATCCCTCACCCCTAGCGTTTGGAGGCACCCACTTCCATGGGCGAGGAAGTGGGCGGAGCCCGGTTTTGGCGCCAGGCGCTGCTACTGCAAAACAGAAACGCCTCGGTCTAGAAGATCAGCCACTGTCCTCGCCCCTGCTTCCCTTTCCCTCCCCTTCGGGGACCACCAGGCACCACGCCGCGAACGGTAAGTGCCGCGTCACCGCCGCCCTCCACCTGTCCCGGGCTCGGGCTCCCAGCGGGCGCGGCGCGCGGCCCCTCCCCCGCCGGGCGCGCGCTCCCGCCCGCCCCGCCCCTCTCGGCCGCCCGGCGTGGGCGGTGCCACCCCCACCCCCACCCCCCAGCGGCTGCCCGGCGCGCAGCTCCCCAGCCCCCTCCCCCTCGGATGTGGCTGGAGCTTGAGGCGCGCAGGGCTGGAGACGCCGCAGACCCGGGACCAGGAGCAGCTCGGAGGCGGTGAAGTCGGTGTCTTTCTTTCTCTTTCTCTACTCGTTGGTGGTGCTCACGACACCACCTGCGCCCCAGGGATTCTCACCGTGCACCCCAGTTCCTTGCTTCCCGCCCTTCCCCGCCCGACCCCGAGTCAGGAGCTGGCGGGAAGCAGCGGAGAGTCGAGCGGAGACCCCGCGCCTGGCCTGGCGCTGGCCCGCCGCCTGGAGTTAGTTGGGGGAGAGGGGAAAACGAGACAGACCTCGAGAGGGTAGAGAGCCGTGGCGAAAGCCGCCTTATTTCTAGACAAAGCGCATTTCCTTTTCCCCTCCCCCATCCGCGATCAAGATGAGGGGCCCTCCTCCCCTTCGCGGCCTCGGTCGGCTACTTGGGCCTCCCGTGAGGGCGGTGCGTTCTCCCGCATCGGCACGGCCGCGCCGTCCTGAGGCTGCGGCGGGCGTTCCGTTACGTGGCTGCCGCCGGGTGGGGACGAACACGGGCCCGGTGGTGCAGTGCCCTTGAGCCCCCGGGCCGCGCGCGGCCTTTGTTTCTCCCCGCGGATGCGCTGACCACGAGGCCCGCGCTCCTGGGTGGGGGGCGGGGGCCGGGCGTTGAGGCCTGGGTAAGCAGGGTGGGGCTCGTGGGGAGCGGACAGAAGAGGTGGCTTGTCTCAGAAGTGGCACGAAATGGGACTGAGGCATCTCAGTATGTTTTTTTTCCTTCAGTATTTGAAACTAGTGATTGGAAAGGGGGAGGGTTTCTGAAAAGAAACGAAGTTGGGGTTATATAGACGCCTCTTTGGACTGTTAAAAGGTCACGTGGGAAAATTCAGGGTAGTTTAATAATTGTGATAGGGTTTTCATGTTAAATTTTGAGACCAGTTATTTGACCTTTTTTTAAAAAATTCTGGATATGACTGTTACAAATGGCATTTAGATTGGGAAAAAATAACGTCTGTCTGCCTACTATTTTTTCCTTTGTAAAACTGTCTCAGATACCAGGGTACCCAGTAAGGTTTTCTAAACCCACTTGGTTACAACACTGATATACTCTGCAAGCATAGGTCACTAATAACTTAGGCAGGAGCTCAGACCTGCGTCTCAGGATTTGAGTACAAGTTTTAAATATACGGTACATAAGTGGGGGTTTGGGATTCCAAACAAAACTTGTGTTTACCTACCTTTTCTGTGTCGTGCAAACTTCTTTTTAACTGTCATGCATTTTTCTAGTAATAGCTCTTCAAGTCTGCAATAAAAAATGGCCTCCAATAAAACTACATTGGTAAGTTAATGAAAACTAAAATATAAGGATGTAACTCAAATTTTTTCTCCGAAAATTATAACTTTGCATCTCTGCGGTTGAGATATTTACATCCACATGTATTTCCTAGTCCCATGTCCCCCAGTGTTACGGGAGAATGAGGGGCAGAAACGAAATCATTGTATTGAGATACTTATAGAATTGACTTAATAATGTCTTAATCCATTGAAAGAAACCTAATCTTGGGAGGATAGCAACATGAATTTTACACAGTATTTTTATCTTGAAATAAAGTTTTGCAACATGGAATAATATTGACAGGGAATGCTGTAAAGCTCTGGCTTGTTGCATAACGTCCCTAAATCACTCTATACTGTATTCTAGAGAAAGCAGGTATTTTCAGTGTTCATTAGTTTAAAGGACTTGTTCCTCATACACCTAGGATGGGACAAAAGTCAATCTCTGGAATTACTTAAGTCATATTGTCATATTTCAAACTTGGTTATTCTAAAATATATTAAGGCCTTAAAATCACCTCATTGCCTTGTGGTTTTTTTAAATACAAAATGAACCAAACCATACGTATGTCCAGGAAAGAGAGAAGTGTACGTCTGGATGTTTTGAGCAATTAAATTTTTTCACTTCACTTTCTTAAATCCAGAGTTTGCATCCATTCCAACACTTCATTAAAAATTCTAGGAATGTGTAAAGATGTGTGTTTGGTCATATTACCGTTTTTTTTTTAAACATTGAAGTATTCACATAAAAATCTCAAAATTCAGAGTTACAGTTCTCACAGTAATTCTAACATATTGCATTAATAATTGTAATCCTATTAACGGTGAGTGCTAATATGTAAATAAGGTGAACATTTGGTTTTGGTTTGTACATTCTTCCCTTGGGTTTCACACTACAAAGGCAAGTTGGTGATTTTTAATTTTTACCATTAGGTTGCATGTTAAACTCTGATATCTTGGGAAGCATTGAAACATAAAGTGTGGCATAAATGATTCCCATCTACTATGTCCCCTGAGGATTGAACTGCCTTTACAAGTTCCATAACCAGTAAACCAAAGTGTAAATAATTGAATTGGCTATATGGTTACCTGTGACCTTTTAAGTATTGGAAGGAGAAGGAACCTACTATCCCTGAGGCTTGGAGGATGAAGGCAAACACAGATGCTTCTGTTGCTTTGGCACAGTTTTGATAGTCTTCAGTGTCTGTAACTTAATGATAGTTAAGCATTGTATTTCTGTTAAGGGATCATAAATTGACAGTCTTGAAAAAAATTTTAATCTAATTTTTCATTTCAAGAGATGAGGTGTGCTTTTAATTTTGATGGGAAAGTGGTTGAATTTTCTTTTGAAAAGAAAAATGAAAACTTGTAACTAGCTTATGAGTGCCATAGAAGTAAATAGTTCATTTTTTGTGCCAGGTTGTATTTCATTAGTGTTTATTGTTTTCACTTTTTGTGCTTATTTTTGTTACCCTCTTTATTCTGTTAACCTTGTATTCATGAAGATGGCTATTTTATCATTTAGGATCACTGTGTGATCACTTTTGTCGACATCAGTTCATTTCTCTCACTGCCATTCCTAAAGTTGTTAAGTCCTGACTTGAAGATGGTATCCAACAAAATCAGGTGTTTGCTGGGTTATTTTAAATTCCAGAGGAGTTTTAATTCTTATATGTGTGTACATTTCTGAATAATTGCATATTTTTAGTGTACTTTTGCAATCTTGAGGTATTGCTGTTAACTTTTCTGCTTGTATGCTATAAGGGGTGACTTCAGTGACTAGCAGTTAAGGGTTTTTTTTTTTTTAATAGCAACACTGAAATGAATTTAAAATTAACATAACATTTGAGGTTTCTTTCCCACAGTGCCTTCTAATTAACCATTTAAGTTTTTTGTTTTATTTGTTTTCAATACTAATATCTCTGAGTTCTTGGGAAATAGTGTGGGGTTTAGCATGGTGTCTCGGCTTCTGTTGTAGCATTATGTAAAGAAAAAAACTAACCTAAAAATTTCTCTATGTAAATTTTGTTGGATACCAGTTTGGACTCTTGAGAAATCAAGAATGAAAGGATTTTTTCACATTGGAGAATTAAAATGACCCAGCATTTCGGCAACTTCATGTGACAACATTAGAGCTTTGTGCCACATGATCTGTAATAATCATCTATAGAATTTATGGGAAAATATTAGCATCCCTTTTAACTTCTTCAAGATCTCCTTAGTTGAGTCTGTAATTGATACCAGGATTTTGAACCATGTTTTCATTCTTCGGTTACCTCTTTTCTGTATAATCAAGGCTTTTAACTTCGGTGTTTGCTTTGATAAAGAGGATTTTAGGGTTTGGGGGCTATAGTTTTAATGGGACTGTGGCTCAATAAGACCTGTTAATAGTAGTTACTCTCTTCTTTGTGTCATCTTCTAATACTTTCTAGTTGTCTGTTGCCTATTGCAGTTAAAATAAGTGCAAACTCTAGTAAACTTGGTCTTGTAGACTAGATGAGACATTAGATTTGGAAAAGATAACAGTATTTTCCAGTGTTTTTATTGTATTATTTCAGTGAAGGGAGTGGGTGATAGGTTTGAACTAAAATGGAATTAAGTATTCCTTTTGTTGACTTTGATCTTTTCAGAAGGGTCTCCTCTGGGATATAGAAGTAAAAATCTAGGTGTTGAATGCAACAATAATATAAACAATTTAGTTTTTACAGTGTACGCAAAAATTTAAAAAGAAGAGATGTCTCTTAAATCTCTGTTTTGTTTTATTTTAGCAAAAAATGGGAAAGAAACAGAATGGAAAGAGTAAAAAAGTAGAAGAGGCAGAGCCTGAAGAATTTGTGGTGGAGAAAGTACTGGACCGACGTGTAGTGAATGGGAAGGTGGAGTATTTCTTGAAGTGGAAGGGATTTACAGAGTAAGAAACCTGGTGCTTTTATTAGATGTTTAACTGCATTTAAGTGACATTTAAAATCTGCTTTTGGTCTGAAGTTTTTAAAATCAGTTTCCCCATAGATTTCTTTAAATGTAAAGACACCTTTAATCCAGGGTACCTTGCTGGAGATCTGTTTAAAACAAGCCAAGTTTTAGCCTACAGTAATAACCAAGCATATTTGAAACTAGTTGATTGCCTTAAAGAGTCCCATTTACAGGAGTGCCGTTCACCCTGTAATGCATTTTAATGAAGTTAGGTAGTGTATCAATTAGAACATCTAGTTGATATAGTTTCCTTATATAAAGAGGACACTAAAACATTGAAGCTGTATATAAGGTGGACTGGTGGGTGTTGAACAGAAGTGCTTATCATAATCCAGGACCTGAATCATAAACTAGGTTTACTGTATTCTAATCTCTAAGAAGCAGTTGGGGCATTTTTTAAGCTCCTTAGTTCTTTATATTCCCTGTTACTAATCATTTTTATAATGTTAGTTGTAGTGTGAATAACTCATGCAGAAATTCGACTCTTAAATTTATCTCCTGCTAAATCTACTTGGAATCTTCTGCCGAAGACCACAAAACCAGCAAGGTTCCATGGCCAGTAACTCATAAAAAATGGATAGGTGAAGATAGTCAACAATTTTCTGAACATGGTGGATATGGGGGAGTGTGCTAGTCAAATAATTAGGCTTCAGGTATCCATTACCAACTACATGCCCCACCATTTACCTTTAAAGTATATGTCATAAAGTTGTAATTTGCCACTAGAAAAATTTCCAGCAGGTAGGAGAACAAAGTAAAATAAGTCTGAACTTTTTACATTATGTTAGGTTATGCTGTTATTTGTTACGTTATTTTTTGAGAGAACGTGTATAGAGTGGGGGTGAGGTGTAGAGAGGGAGCTGCCATCCATCGAGCCCAACTTGGAGCTTGTTCTTACAAAGCGTGAGATCATGACCTGAGCCAAAATCAAGAGCCGAATGCTTAAATGACTGAGCTACCAAAGTGCCCAAGTCCGAACTATTTTAAAATTAGATTTTAACCAGTGTGCCAAAAAACTGATTACCTTCATGTGGTAGGTTTTTTGTTGTTTGTTTTGGAATATTGTGAGACATTAAGTACTGTTTGTTTCTGTCCAGCTCATTAAAATGTTAAGAAATTTAACTCCTTTTTTCCTTCTTTCTCTGAAACTTAAGGCCATTAGTATAACTGAGACTTGCTAAATGTGTACAATTTAATTAGGTAATATAGAAGTCTATAATATCTACATACGTATATACAGAAAGGGTTAGGGTTATATATATCTGTATTAAATGGAGGCTCTGCTACAACTTTTGTCCTTCTCTGTTTTCAGATTCAGGTTTGCCAATTTTAGAGTCTCAGCATATCAAAAAACCCAAGTTACAATCAGAAGTTAACAATTACTTGGGATACCTGGGTGGCTCAGTCGGTTAAGCATCCAACTTTGGCTCAGGTCATGATCTCATGGTTTGTGACTTTGAGCCCACATCAGGCTCTGTGCTGGACAGCTCAGAGCCTGGAGCCTGCTTCGCATTCTGTCTCCCTCTCTCTCTGCCTCTCCCCTGCTCGCACTGTTTCTCTCTGTTTCAAAAACAAATAATGTTTAAAAAAAAAAAAGTTAACATTACCTTTGTTTTCCAACATCTCCAAAATGATAATTTCATCCTATCTTGTTCTGTAAAGGCTTTTTGGATCAGAGCACACAAGACTAGTTAGCAAGACTAGGGGGGGGTGCCTGGCTGGTTCAGTTTGTAAAGCATACTACTCATGATCTCACAGTTTTGAGTTCCACCTCCACATTGGGGATAGTATTTACCAAAAAGAAAAACACACGCAAAAAAACAAAAGTTAGCAAGGCTATCACTAGTATTATCTAACTTTCACATTTGGTAATTGGTATTCATTTTTCTTCCTTAAAGAATCATATAGTAAATACTTGAGGCGTTGTGAGTCATAGGTCTCACAATTACACAACTCTGCAAATATAGTACAAAGCAGCAGTAGACACTACATTGA